TATTTTCCTTTTTTTTTAGAAGTCTAAAAAAGTTTTAAAAATTAAAAGCCTCCGCGAAAGCCTCGCCAAGTTTCATCTCGATCCGAGTCAAAAGTCCCCCTTAATCGAGAGGAAATTTGTTTTTTGAGTGTTTAATCGATGGTTGAGGGAGAAGGGGGTAAATTTGTCGGTAAATATTTGCCGCGAATCGATCCCCTCGAATGGTGCGAACTCTATTCGATCGTCAAAAGAAGACTTTTTTTCCAGCTACAAAAAAGTAGCTAGATAGTTTTAAACGCATTGGGTTGGATCGCGTTCGCAGGCTGGTTATGCGCGCGCATCCGTTTCCTTTCATCCTGTTTTCGCTCGTTCTATCGCCGTCGGATAAATAAACGCGAGCCAATAAGCGCGCGTCGTTGCTTGAAATTTGATCGCCAACGTATTTCTCCATTCGACCACCTGCCCTCTGTTTCCTCGTTATTTCGGCACTAGAGCGACAAAGAAAGAAAGAAAGAGAGAAAGAGACATCGATAAGGTAGAATTCCGTCGAAAGTTCCATACGATATTTTTCTTGGTTTCCACGTTCCAAGGATAAACGGGCGGTCGAGCAAGGAAAGCGAAATATCGGATTGTCGGATTTCTTCTACCGTTTCTCTCTCTCTCTTTGTCTCTCCTCCACGTTTCGAGGCTGGGGACTTCTGTCGGAGTGCGCAGATAAGATGAGCTCACCGCGTCCTCTTATCGTAACGCCAACGTTGCTGACGGTGCTTGAGAACAGTGCTCCAGCGACGAATGCAACCACCACTTTGACGCCAACGATTTGAAATCGAACACGATCCCGAGAAGCGGTTCAACGTAAGCAAAAATTGTTCGCTTCGCGCGCTTGCCGAAGCTTCAGTTCTTCCGTTCGCTTCGAACCGAGCGGTCGAATCCGATTGTTCGCCTCGCCCTTCTTTCTTCTCTCGCAATTTGGCCAATTGGATCGATTTCTCAACGATTTCTCAACGATTCCACACCGCGCCATTGTGACGGTAACTGTTTAAGATCCGAGACGAATCTTATCCGCTTCTTCCAGTCGTGATCGTGGAAACGAGGAATGGCAGGATCGACTGGGCAATATGGAACGGACGCTAATAAACAGAGACGTCATATATATAAGTATCACACACGCGCATGTCTTTCGATGCTGCAATTAAGAAACTTCTTTTTCTCCTCTTTCGATCACTTTTCACTCACTAATTCGTTTCCTAATTTTTTTTTTTTTCTCTATCTTCATTTTATCCGTCAAAATCCGGTTCGTTACAATCGGTGAACCGCTTCCCTTTCAGTTTCTACCTTCGTAACGATCCTTAACGATGAACGATGAATCGTCGACTCGCACCTTTAGCCAACTGTAATTGCCTTATTTATCGTACCACTCGATACGTTTGCGTCGGATGTTGATTTTACGCGAGGGGTCGTATTTCGTATCGCGGTTCACCGAGTATATCGCGAGAGGAGAGTATCGCGTTGAAAAGGCCGCAAAGCACAATTGCGCTCGCTTCTCGTTCGCGGAAGTCTTCTTACTCATTCTTCCGCGTAAAAGGCCCGCGCACCTGCACCTAATGACGAATATTTTTAGAAGAGCGAACGTATTGGGCCGGGAAACAACAGCCGTAAATTTTATCGTCTACTGGCGATTATTGTCAACCCGAATAATTTTTCTCAACGTGGAAAACTTGTTGAACGTTGAAATTCGAGAAGCGTCCAATTTCTTCGAGATATTTGCTCATTCGTACGGAACACGTGATAAGAATTTATATATAATTTCGTATAATTAAAATTCAAGTTATTATTAATATTGAAATCGGAATAGCATAAAGATATACGAAGAAAGTTGTATATTTCGTTCGAAAGAAAGTTCGTTCTTTTCTTATAAACAGAAAATTCCTCCGCTAGTTAATGATTTTTTCGCTCGGTTAATAGCAATTCGTTATCGAATGTAACAAATTTACGATATTACTCGATACTTAACGAATTAACGATTCAAATAGTAATAATATATAAGCTGGGATAATTTAATAAGACGTTCTGAGAAAAATTTCTTTCACGTTGGTTAATCGCAAGTATATTGTATCGGTGATCGATCTTCCCTCGATCCAACTCGGTCTTGATCGATCGATCTCGTTCGATATCGAGGATACAAAACGTTGGAGAGAATCGTCATCTTTCGCTCTCGTCCAATGTTTTTGAAAAGCGACTCTCGCCATACACCGCCATATTTAATGGCGATAACGGCTCCGCTAACGACCGATCCACGATCACGCCGATCCCGTTTCCTCGGGGCGAATACCGCGCAACGATCGTTTGCTCCTCGCTTATTTTACCTTCTCCCCCTCCTCCCCTCCCCCTCTTCGAATTCCACCACCATCATTTCCACTTTCCTTTCGATCCGTTTTTCCCCGATCTTCCGCGGCGATATCGATTCGAATCGATTTTTTCGGTCGCGCTGATTGAATCCGTAAACCGGATTTGAACGTGTCGCGATTTTCCATTATCGTAGTTGGAAAGAAACGGCGCGCGTGTCTCGTGAAATGAAAACGGTACTTTACTCGGTTCTTTTTTTTTTTTTTTTTTTTTTTTTTTTTTTTTTTTTTTTTTTTTTTTTTTTTTT